CAGCTACTAGGCTCAAGGCAAAAACATGTAAAAAGTGTAATTTCTTAATTTCCTGAAAGAAACTCCTGAGGGATTGATAAAACTCTGTCTATCTAACTTAAAAGGGAGTGCACGAGGCAGAGGTTGATGTTAGTTTTAGGGGTAAAATGTTTAGCCATTAGTAAATTTGCCTCTTTCACATCTTTTTAGAATTGTGTCACCAGTTACACTTGATAAATTACAAAAAAAAAAATTACAAAAAATAAAATATTTCCTCCATGGACATGAGTTAAGGCTCTCAGAATATACACATTTTATTTTGTTTGTCATTATAAGACATCATACTTACAACATCAAACATAACAAAATGTGTTTTTAGGAAAAAAATCGTCAAAAATAGAAATAAATATTTAAGGATTTTTACAGAGGGAATATCAAACAGCAATTAAAAATGTTACTGTATATATTCAGTTAGAAACTATTTTCGATTCTTGTTTGAGTTTTTGTTAATGTTACTACTTTATGTAATTTCTAACCGGGCTATTGTGCCTGGTGAAGCTACTTGTGGAGTTGTACCGCCCCCCAGTGGTAAATAGATGTCAATAGCAAACGCTTCAATCCTTGAGTTTGGCTTCAGATTTCCAGAACATATTTAGTCATTCGATATCGAATCCAAAGTTGTGTCGAGAGTATAGATCACATGACATGAATGGAGTCAGTTGATTGGCACCTTTTGTTGAACTTTCTCTACTTTATTTTTAATGTTTTTTTAAAAACATAGATAGGCTATGTGTTAATATTAATGTAGTGTTTTGAGTTTCTTTGTAGTTTTTCTGAACTGAAGCGATTAGTCACTTTTTGACCTTTCATTTGTAACAATATTATTCTCTGAAATCTAAATGAACTACTTTATAATAGAATGACCAAGTTTCTGCATTTATATAGGGTTAATGTATCTGCAGTGCATCACACAATGTGATGTATCAATGTGTGATACAACACAATTATAGTTCGTTTGTTGACTTTGTGGGCATAAATTCATTCCATGGAGTTTTTATCTTATTTTCTATTTTATTTTTCACATGTTTGTGAATTTAATTAGATTCTTTATGTACACAAAAATGAATTCAAACAATTCGTTTTATCGCCATTGACGATTAAACTGTTGTGCAAGCGCTTCAGCTCAGTAGTCATGCTCGGGTGTTTACGTAAACTCGACCAAGACACGAAGTGTTGAAAACCCCTCCCACCGGTGAACGAAGGGGCATTCGCTCCACGATTGGGTCCAACCCTCCATCTGCCAGCGGAGGGAGGCGGTGTCGAGCGCTTGAATGACGGCCGTATCTACTGTATGTTGACACTTCAGTGGGGATCGAGACAGCCTCGGGTACTACAACACCGGCCTACATATTCATCTGTAATAACATATCCGATGTGAGGTATTCGAGCTCCACGAGCGTTTCCTTTGTCGTCGCAGACTGTTGTGAGAACGACTCGGGGCCGAGGCTGAGGTTGAGGCGGCGTTTCTTACAGGTTCATGACCCACATTTGTCAGCGGCCAGGGAAGTAAGTAGAGAAAAAGTGAATTGTTATTGTTATGGTCGAGGAGTTTGTAGACACGTATGATCGGATTAAGAGGACAAATGGGAGGCGGATGCAGATCCTAAGAGGCAAACATCCGAGCAGAATGACACTTGATGTCTGCGGGTGGGAGTTCACCATATTCGCTGAAGTTGACGCTCAGACGCGGACCACAGGAAGAGTAAAAGAAGTAAAAAGACTTGTCTGTTAATCGACCAATCCGATCTTTGATTCCAGCCCGTGCTCTTATGTATGTGACCTATATCTGATGCATGTGCGCCCAGAACCCACTGCAGTAAGCTCAACGCCACACCAGACAGCATGGGGATCAACGGGTTAGACAAGCAAGGGCAGCCGTCTGGAGGAGTGTGCAGGACGGACGAGCCCTCTGCAGATCCCCACATGCACGGCAGAGATGCAGCGCAAGAGGCAGACGAAAACAAAAGCGACCAGACTGCGGGAACACTGGTGCCAGAGGTAAGAACCGTCCAGGTGATGGAGGCCGACTGTCGACAGCCTGACTCCCCGCTGCCGCCGGCTTCTGATTCCGAAGTGGAGAGCCAGGCTGAGAGGCAAGGACAGGGTTCCGAGTTCGTCCCCCCCGAAGGTGGGTTCGGCTGGGTGGTGGTGCTGGCTGCAACCTGGTGCAATGGCTCCATCTTTGGGATTCAAAACTCCTTCGGCATCCTGCACACGAAGCTGGTGGAGGAGCACACAGACGTAGACGAAAAGACGTCTCAGTTCAAAGTGGGTGAGTACCAGTTTCCACTGAGGCTGACGGGAACATCACAACAATCGCGTACACGTTGTCCTGGTTGCACAACAGGTCACAGTCTATGGAAGACAAATCTACGGTTTTAAAATGGAAAACAACAGATTTTTTTTTAGAAACGAACACCAACTGAATACAAACAAATGGGCGTTACTATATGGTTATTGGAAAAGTATGCAGCATTTATCCCTCACTGTTTACAAACGCAAACGTCATCCCTTCACAGTAAATGCTGCCACAAACTGGTTACTAATGCCCTAGCAAATGAAGGAGTTTGCTCCTGCCACAATATTGTATTATATTCATCCCATTTTCAGACTCAGTCAAAGTCTTACATAAAAACTAGTCATCTGCAGTGAGGCTCCGATTCCCATTGTACTTTTCCTGACTGCCAAACAGTCTTTACATAGGTTGACATCTCCACTCTATGGTTTGTTTTTAAGAAAAACACACTGACACTGCACCTTTAACATGTGCGTCATCGGTGTCACAGCAGACTAATGTATAGGCTGCCGTGCTGTTATGTGCTGCACACACAGGGATATGGGTCATCTCAGAGTTCATGTTAGTTTACGAAGTGGCACATTTAGCACAGTATGAAATGACACACATGTCTCCTGTGCTGTAGGAGCACGCACTGGTCTCACGTTACAGTTAAGTCTGACTGAAATCCGGTAAATGAAGTCTGTCTCGAGTTATATGTTTGGGAGAGAACACGCTGGCCTGCATATATAAATGACAGATATCCATCCAACAAAACAATTTTGGATCAAAACAAATGTGTCTTCATCCTTATCTCTCTGAAATATAAACACTGAAATAATACAAATAATACTGAAAAATACTGTGTAATGAAAACATCTAAAACGATTGCACATGTAGTTGTACTACACTACACATGTTAGCGTCACTGGACATAAATCACCGACCACAGGGGTTCTTTCTGGAAGCATGCTTCACTTGAACATATATTTTTAAGGTTTTATTCCCGTTCCCTGTCGAATCAATATGTTTCTTGGCAGAGTGAAGAAGACTAATTAATTTAATTGTAGGAAAAAATAAACTAAAAAAAGAAAAGAAAACTTTGAAAAAACAAATATTCACACTTAAACATTTTGCTGCTGTTTTTCTGTAGAGAACGTTACTTTAATTCTTTAATTCTCAGGAGGCCTGGCCCTTCCATTGTGTTTCACAGCATTGGCCTCTTTGTCTTTGAATACTTACTGAGTGAAAAATGATGTAGGAAATGGGTCGGAGCAAGTGGGCGCTGGCATGAGACCGAGCCCTAATCTGTGGGGGTTTTAGCCCAGGGAGAAAGTTTCAAGGAGCAAAGCTGTTTGTAATTCTA